GTGAATCGGCTAGTCACTGTATAGAATCGTCCCGTTCTCTCTAGAACTAGACGATTTCCAATTTTTTAGCCGATACGATCCACTTTTTACGATTTTCGAGTCGAACCGGGCGAGTCCGGTTCGACTCGGTGCTTTTTAAAACACTGATCCAATCTGAATGGAGGCTAAGATTGTTCCAATTACAATGTCACATCTCTATATTATTTTATTTTAAATTTTTTTCTATAAACTACTTTGACATCAAATTTTGGACGTCCAATCCTCTATTAAATAGTAAGTGGCTCTCTTGATCGAAATTGGATGCCTTTCCTTTTTTATTTAAGCCAGAGAATTTAAATCCACGCATCAAAAAAAGCAAATTCTTGTGAGCTTGTAGAGAGAGAGCCTGAACTGCTGCCCAAACATAGAGATAGAACCACTATCAAGTCTAATCTTCCATTTAACCCAAGTCACCAGCCATCCACCCTTTCAATTCGCTTGGTAATCAGCTCTCTCTAAATGCTGGAATCGATTCATACTTTTTGATCCCTAGTATATCTCGGTAATTATTATCTCTCTTTCTCTCTCTCAAAATCATTAAATACCAGTGATAACACGCTTGTATGTAACATACGTGACCCATTCCCTCTCTCCCTCTAAATTGAGCATAAATAAAGAAAGAAATGGATATAGAAAAGAAGAGGCAATGCCATGAACACAGGTGATAGGCCTTTTTGCAGAGAGAAACATGGCTCGAAGGAGATTTAAGAGAGAGACCATCCGGGAGACAGACTTTATGGGAAAGTGAGTGCTATATATCCAGAAATCACACAGGTCAGCTTCTAATCCAATTCTCTCTCTAACCCAACTCTTTCTCTAACCTAACGCTTTCTCCCCCTTTCTCTTTCTCTCATGTGAAAATTTTGAACTATTTTTTTTTTTATAATAATAAATATAATGGATATATACGTTATTTTTTAAAAAAATTACTTTAAAATTTTAAATCTCATGGTCATACCCATTTTTTATATACTTTTTTTCCTAAATTGCCCTTACCTCTGGTTTGTCAAGATCTGAAATTCTCTCTAACCTCCAACAAGCCCGTGGACTTACCGGTGGCAATGTGCTCAGTGGCCTAGCTAAGCCCCACTCGATCGGCCCAACCCAACCCTTAAAAAGTAGAGCTTGGGCACAAAATGTGGCCTGAGGTTCGGGCCAAGGGCTGGCCACAACAGCCCAAGGCCCAAGGCCCAGACAATCCCTATAGTTCCCTTTATTTCTTTTCAATTTTGTTTTTGTTATTTGGCCAGGCCCGAACCATGGCATCATTGCCTTGGTGGGGCTAGAGCCGATCCTATAGTGACCAAGACCTTTCATTTTCATTGTTGGAGTTATGGCCTTTCAAGGCTTTAACTCTAGCACTATATAATAGTTATTGATCACAATAGGAGTGAACTAGAACCTTGGCTCACCAAATCTTGGCAAACTGCAATTTTTTTCAATCTTAAGGGGTTTTTAAATCGAGAGCTTTGAGGGCTTCCTTGAGCTAGGGTTGGTATGAGTAATCGTCATGATTGTATGAACCAAGGCATGTGTAATTTCTGATTATGTTGTTTATTATATGAGCTCTAGTATTTTTTAGTATTTTTGTAAGCTTTGTGTGAGACGACTAAGCTTTGAGAGGACATAAACTCAAATCCCTAACCTCGAGCCTTTTCATAGTATGTGCATATACAATTGCAAATGAGAAGTCACTCTCTCAAGCCAAGATCCAATGGAGAGAGCAAAGATATATGTAAGAGGGATGATCCCCGCCTCTACAAGAGTACATGTCCTCAATAATGCACCTGCAATCCCTTATAAATTTGGTATTTGACCACCTATCGGTCGGCATTGATGATTCGAGCATGGCCCCTACCTGAGCTTGTGGGACATAGGCTTTATTGGGTCAATCTAAGAAAAATAACTTAGGGTATTGGATCTAGCTAAGTGGAATGCCTTACTCGCCTATTTTATTTCTTATGGGATCTTAAACTCTCTCACATATATTTTTCTTAGATGCCAAACTAATTCAATATGATAGAGAAACAGTTGAAAATGATTTGTAATTTATTGTGAATAAAAACTAAGGATTTTCAAAAATTTTGGCTATAATAACCATCAAGGGCAGTTATACACGTGGACCATGTGGCACCTAATTGGTCAATAGGTACCACATGGATGGCTGCCATGCCACCACATGCAAGTGACATATGGATGAGGTGGCAAGGGAATATCTTTATGCTGTGTTTAAAGGGAAAGTTTATATAGTGCCGAGGCTCTAAACAATCAAATTTGAACCTACCTCAAAATTTTTATTAAAAGTGGTTGTTTTGATGCTCAAATATCTTCAAATTGATCATCTCGATATCAAGATGCATGGACATGAGTAAAAAAATGGATTTCAAGTTTTAGAAATAGTGTATTTTGTAATGTATTTTTTTACCATCAATTTTTAAGTTTTCATAGATCTGTCGATCTATACTATTTTAAAGTTTTAAAATTTATAAGTAAATATAAAATTATATTTTAA